ATTGAAAACTAATTAAAGTGTTCTTAAGTAACTTTATCATTAATTTAATACTAAAAAATTATGAGAACATCATTTGAGAACACCATATGAGAGCAACTAATGTACATGCTCTTAACCTTATCTATTAAAATATTTAAAATAATTTTCATAAAAAAACTAGTTTTTCTTGTTTTTCCTGTCATCTTCTTCATGGCATCTATCTCTTCTCTCTTGTTCGACAACTTTAATTTTTCTTTGCTAAAAAACTCTTTTTCATGTCCCTTAAATCTTATCTTTGATGATTCTCCTACCATCTTCGATTTCTCTGATGTTTATTTTACTAAAACAAAACTAATTTTACTTATTCTCCTCTTTCATTGGATCTCTTCTCTCTCTCTCCATCAAATCCTCTTTGGATCGACTTAATTCTCATTCAATGGTTGGTGATGGAGGAAGCGGTGGGAATTGTTGAAGCTAAAACCACGACGGAGCGTGTGTTGGCTGTGGACAGTTTATGCCCTCATTGATTTTGATCGTCGTCTTCATCGCATGCATATCCATTATTCATTCGTGAACATGTGAACGCAGTATTTTGGACACAGTAGTTTGGACAACCTCGATAACATATATGTGCATTCATTTGATAAATTTGTGGACATGGTTCCATGGACAAAACTCTCAGGATCTTTGATACATGTCATGTAATTGATGGAATCCGACTCATATCCTTAAAAATTGTGATGGAGTAGTTGTAGTTACACTGGCGTTGAGACGATGAAGTCTCCGACAGGTGGGTTTTTTATTTAATTATTTATTGGGGAAGCAAACTTGAAATCCAAGATATCAAATAGTTGTTAGAGAAGCAATATCGGTGGAGGTGGCAACAATATTGAAGAATACTATCATGATTGATTAAATATTTCTTTGAAAAAATGGAGGAAGAGAGAGAGGAGAAAAGAAGAAAAAGACAAATAGAGGAGAATGGATGAGATGGTATTATTGACCAGATTTAATCACAGCCATCCAATCCCAACAACCTACACTCATCCAATGGCTCATATTAGAAAGCATAAGGCCATGATTATCCATGAGATTTCTATGGTCTCAACCAATAAAAAATTATTAAAAACATACTTTCTCTTCTTTTTACTCAACTTTATACCTTCTCTTTCATCTTTTTTCTCAACTTTTATTAATTTTATATTTAAACACACCCAACTAAAACAAACTCACTCTATAAAACTCTCCAAAGTCTCACCCTCATGAAATTCTCTCTCCAATTTTATCCACTATCTCATATTTTTACTCAAATTTTATTAATTTTATAATTCAATACACTCCACTATTTCAACAAAAAACACTCTCTTTCTTCCTTTTACTCTAATTTTAATAATTTTTTATTTATTGAGACCATGAAAATCTCATGAAATCTCATGGATAATCATGGTCTAAGAGCATTCTTAATGGTGATACCATTAAAATTTCTTAACTTATTTTTTAATATTAAATTTAATATTAATTTAGTATTTGAGACTCAGTTTGTTTCTCTTAATATTTATGTGTCCAATGGTGAAACTTGGGTAGCATTCTAAAAAATAATTTTTTTTTTAAATGTTTACAAAATAAAACAAATCATATTGAAGATATAACATTCAACAAACTCAAGATTAACCCGAGTTAGAAAGCTCGGGTTTGCAGCTTCAGTTCCTTGGTCAGAAGGTCCACAAATTGCTTCTCCATCTCTTGTTTGAGCTTTGGGTCATCACTTCCACAATTTGTTTACAACACAAGTGAGGATTTATTTTCTACTATCAAACACCAAAAAAGGGAACATATTGAAAGGAGAAAAAAGAGCAACGATTTGTTACATATCAGGAAAACGTAATGCAACATGATGCAGGAATGACAGAATAAAGCATCCAAGACTGATCACAAATAACAATCAGAGCAACACTGAATGAGAATGCAAACAATCCTAGTATTGTAGATCCATTCTCAATCAATCCAAAGACACCATTGAACGGGAAACAAAACGAAAGCATACGAGTGTAGTGATGTAAAAGGGAAAATGGAGTACCTGCCAAGTTCCCATGTTAAGTTTTCCTTTTGTAATTGGGATTCTGCAACAGAACCATCAACACACTTGATTAAGTGAAAATCCAAAAAGCTAACAAATTCTATTAGGTTTTTAGTACAAGATTGTGTCCCTCACGTGAGTTGGCATCCAAACATTGATGATTTGATATGAGATGGCATGTCATCTGGACCTGCAATTAACAATTCAAAATTCTCAATACATCAAACCTGAAGAATTCATAAAGGAAAAACCACATTTCAGAGGATA